TTATTTGAATAAGTCTTTGTAACTGCCCAATCATAGGCCTAGAAATGAGGTCACGCAATAGCGAATAGATATGGTGAAACGCAGTAAAAAAGCAGGCATAAAAAGGACATTATNTAAAATGTTGCGGCTTTTTGACAAGTTCTTCAAAAATATTAACATCTGTCAGGATGGTCTTTGTTTTAATAATTGGTAATTCTTAAGCCGTTCTTATTCTAAGCTGAAAGCTTTTAACCATAAACTTTGTCTGAATTATTCATAAAAGTCAAACCGACTTTTTAAGACATCCACTTACTAAAACGTGATGCCCGTGTTTTCACATCACATTGCAGGCGTCTCATATAATGTTTACATGATACATTTCTTGATACCACAGTATAGAAGTACATCAGAGTACATCACTTATAAATTTCCCTCTAGAATCAGCCTATTTTGTTGGGTATGACCCTGTTTACTTGTGACTGGACTCGTTTTTTCAAAATGTATTGTGCTGTGTTGCGCTGAATTGCTGTAAATTATCAAAAACCAGGGCGGGGTTAAATAATTTCCATTTGCACTGATTACGAGTGATTGAATTTTATGCTAGAGGATATTCCCAATTTTTAATGCTGTGGTACTTTTGGAACCACAGTTATTTTAGAATTGGGCGTGTTAAGGATATTTCTCGTGTCTGTAATGGTCCTTTAAATATGAATACAATTACACCAATTTGCTCCAAATACATGTATCAATAACAGCAAACTCATATCCAACTAACAAAATTGTTAAGGAAATTATTCTCTCTCGTTAATAACTGCATTCATTCCTTAACAAGTATAACACAGCGTAGGTACACTCCATGTCTTTGAAAATTCCCCAAAAACGCTTAATTTTGCCATCCATAGTTTCTAACAAATCTTACACACAGTGATTTAATCTCTTTTGTTTTTCTCTTGACCCGTACCTGATGTTGACATTTCTCTTGGAAATGGGGAAGTGGGCGCTGCTTTAATGACTGGCCATTCCTTTAAAGGTGAAAACCAATCCTTATAAATTTGATCAAATCGAATCCAAGTGCAGAGAAGGAAAGATTAATAATTCGGGAGTACGAGCAAATTGTTTATTTTCCTGGAAATCCCCTTTGTCGGTTAAATGTCATGGAGTGTACCTTTTACATTTGAATCAATTTTTTTTCATTTGTCAAAACTTACAGTGTAGGAAAGTCACGAAAAGAAACTTACCTCGTCTGCTGACTCAACAGCTATGCATAGGATACAAAGAAATGTCAACAGTCCTAGAACTGCATTCATCTTGGCGTTTGTAATTCGTAGTACCAGCTTTCTCTTTCTCCGTCTATCGTTTCCTGCACTGTTACTCTTTCTGAAGACTGGCTCACGTCAGAAGAATTTTTGCTGCGTTGGTTATAAATCAAATCGCTATCAGATCATATATATGGTGTGGTCAGTGTTTAATTGGGTCCTACTGTGCATCTTAACTCCAGCCAGCAGACAGAGCGGGGGGGGGGGGGCTGGGGGGGGGGGAGGAGGAGCAGAAAACTGTTGGAGTTTTGCCACATAGTGTCCAGTCCATTTGCAAGTCGTGCAAATAATTACAGTTGACAGAGCTACTGCATTTATTTGTATGTCGATTTTGTTAAATCCAAACTGGTATAACGAGATTCGGTTTAGTTCTACTTTTACGTCAAGCCAATTTGCACCACAGATTTTTATAATAAAAACAATAAGTTTATTGAGCACTGAATGATATGCATACATTTGTACGCTCACTAGACTACATTATTTACACAATTATTTATTGTTGCATCACACATTCATTTATATTTTTGTACCCTTTTCAAAATAACCAGCTGACGCTCTGTGAACCAAAGATCAGGTATTCAGAATTTGTCCGTAAAATCAGACTTGTTTTCAAGGACAGCACTTTTTCAGGTTAAGAAGGGGAGGGGGGGTAGCAGATCTGTGGAGGCGTATGTTACCGGTATCTTCTTAACCGAACGTGATATTCTAAAAAAAAGCTTATTTTAACAGCTTTTTCATTTTAAAATCGTTATTTGAAAATTTTAGTTACATAAGAAGCTAACGCGTATAGGCTTCTTAGGCCTCGTCTCTATAACCTTAGAACTAAATTAAACTAAAAGTTTCCCACAAACACACAAGTTTAGAATCCATAATTTGTAAGCTATCTTTGGCAGCAACAGAAATGCGTCTAAAATTCTTAATCTGTATTAAATCTAACTAATTTTACTTAATTTCATTCATCAGTTCCCAACCTACGTTCAATAGGGTGACTCCCGTTTTCGCCCACGTCCTCACACATAATTATAAAACTTAGCAAATTATTTTATTCCATAAGTCTTGGTTATAAAATTATCAAAGGCATTCCAATTATAATCGACAAAATTGTATTCATATTGTCATTTTCATCCACACAAGTGGATGCATATGTTACAGTGAAATAAACTAAACTAAACTAAACATAAACCATAACCCCAACCAAAAATTAATCCCTGACAAAGCTTAGATGTAACGAATTAACACAATCTTCCAACAATCTGCTTAAAAGCTCTAATTAGTATTGGCGCTGCTCTAAATCTTTCCCTTGAAGTGGTAAATTGAAACGGGGATGTTAGCCTTTAATTTTGCCCGAGGGAGTACGGCGTTGTGTAACAGTAAATTGCATTGGTATGCATACTTATACTACGTAGTTATACTGGATCTGTCCTCTACCATTAGTCCCTCAAATCTCCACAATGTATTTGGTCAGATCACTGGGATTTCATGATATTCTCTTCACTGTACGCTCCTAAAGCAATACAATTGGGATGCTACATGTAAGTTGTCATCCAGTAGCAAAACATCACTTAAACATTATGCGAATGATATGGGGCATATAGCTTGTGAAAGCCTAGGTATAAATACCAACAAGGTATGCAGCTCATCTCTAAACCAGCCCCGTCAATCAAACACTCATTATGTTCACTTGCGTCTTAGTTTAAATGCAGTCAAACAGGCTATAATTACGAATATATTGCGCGTTTATTAATAAACATTGTTTATTTTAGATCCGCTGATTCGAAAATAATATAATCCATTTCTACTACTTACACAAAACGCCTACATTTTGGTATTTTTATAGTGACCATACCTAAACTCTAAATCCTGAAAATTGAAAAAAAATCTGAAACAAAATGCGTAAATGAATAAAGTAGCTAGACTATCCTTCATAAGGAGCTCTTTACATAAATTGCAGTATTAATAGATTTATAAAACGTATGCAGTAAAAATCCATTATACTGTGCCTATATAAGCTCTGAATCACTATAGTTCTTGACAGTCCAGTTGACATTTAGGAAATTCACGGGAATAAACGCGTCCATATGAAAATAAGAGCTTATAATAACTTGAAACGGAATAAAGTACGCACGATCATGACAGTGAGTGAGTAGCCCCCCCCCTCCCACATGCACACAATCACCCACGAATGTAGGCCTAACTGTCTTGAAAACAAGAAGCAGAGAACGCTGTGTTGTAGTAGTATTAGCATCCTAAAGGTAGTCACGCAGCAAAACTTTTGTGTTCTTTAAAAACTCTGAGAATATATTATAGCAAATATAATACAATTTAAATAATTGAAATGCATTTCTTTCCAACATTCAGTTTTCGTACGTTTTTTGGTAGCCTCTCAAAGTTTTAAACCTCAAATATTGGAGACCATAATAGAGTCAGCCAAAGACACGTTTGGGGAACACGTTAGAACACGTCATGATGGACATTAACAGGTGTAGGACCATAACAGAGCCTCTGGTAAACAGTTTAGAACCAAGGGACCGAACTTGATTTGAGGACCAGAAGAGAGGCTTTACATACGCGTCCCACTTTTGGTAGACGACCTTCGATTAACAGCTACTTCATCAAGACTGGTGATTACAATAAAAATATTTGCTGTGCTCCAAAGTATAATAACATAAAACTGTTATTGGGCATAAATTTTCGATTACTTATCAACAATGTAAAACAGGTATTTACAATGAAATAACTATACAAGGTGGGGGAAATTACCCAACCCACACATCAGGAAACATAAGACTTTGTAGTGGCAACTGTAATATGCATCAAATTGATTTATGAATATAACTGACAGTTTATATCCTCAATTACATGTACAAAACTGAATTGAACAATTGATAACAGTATTTAGGGTCGCGTTCACAATGAAACTATCGTGCTAGGTAGCTCGAACCAACTCAACAGGGATTTTTGCTAAATGCCTTCAGGTTTATAGATTAACACACATCCTCTCGTTTCCAGCGTGCTCGTTCAACTTCCCATGCCCTAGTCAAATTGACACATAAATTACTACAGGAGGACTTGAATCATCCCCCACAACAAAGTTTTATGCTGAGGTGTTATTCTTGAATTTTACTAAGGCTTTCAAAAGGATTGATCACAATATGTAAATGAAAAAAAATAGAAATTCAAGTGATACCAGACTTTCTAAGACGTTGGATTTATTCCTCAATTTCTTTGCGAGTAAAATGCAGTAGCTTTAAATCTGATAGGTCGGAGGAGTGCTTCAGGGTACTAAATTAGGCCTAACTCTTTTCCTTGCAATGATCAATGACCTGAAAAACTTGTTGTCCAGATGTTGATGATACTTCCATTTACGAAATTTGCAAATTCGGCGAAACACCACATCTGTTGTTTTTTAATTTAAAGTTTATTGTCGATTTTCTTTTAAACATACTTTGTACAACTTCAACCGTAGGTTTCCAATTTTACCTAATAAACTATTATTATTATGATTATTATTAGTATTATTATAATCACCATAATCACCAGCATTTTTGTATTACTCTCAAGGCCCGGAATCTTTTAAGCTAATTTTTGCACAGATAATAGTACATTTTCTCTTTTTTAAAAACGAGGACCCATTCACATCTTTATCATTTTTAGGTAAATAACTGAAAAACACAAAATACTTGGAAATACGAGGCGGTAGCAGCAATGGCAAACATAAGTGACATAACTCTAGACACCATCGAGTCTTTGAATGACTCCGTGGAGGCCTTTGATATTTGCGATCGTTTTGAGATATACTCTTACGACATTGAAGATCTACAGGATCTAAAAGAAAGGCTTCGCTTACATTTCGAGGCAGAACACTCTAAAGTTCCCAGATTGGAAAAGGTATAGTCTGTGTCTTTCTTTTATTCAAATATACTCACGTTTACTTTTGTTTTGTACACATAGAGGCCATTCAGAATAGAAGGCCCGAGGATCTTCTGATCCACGGATCAAATATGGCGGACTCTACATGAAATAAGACCCGACTAATCCGCTTATGGTTTCTCCGTCTCCACACGCTCTGCCATTGCAGGGGTCCAGCAATTAAACATTGTGCTCGCGATTTAATCAGTTTAAAGGCGCGTGTGGAGGCGGGGAGCCCATCTGCGGATTTGTCTGGTCTTCTTTCATGCAGGGTCCTCCATATTTGATACGTGGAACTGTTGATCCTCGTTTTCCTTATACCAGTTGGTTACATTGAATATATTGTTGGACGCCAGGGTGCAAAAGTCACTGTGTATGTTTATATAAATATATAATTTTAGGCTGCTGATGTTTTCGCTGAGCTACGAGAGAATGATACGCAAAGACGAAATGCACTTCAGTCGATCTTTAAAACCATTAAGGAGTCCCTACCATTACTTGACTTGAGCATCTTAAAGAGACTGGAAGCTGAGAATGTTGTATCTGAGAGCGCAGACACAAACGTGCGTAAAAGGATCACCATGCTCGAAACTGGTAACCGTCCAATACTTGTAGCAGGTAGGAGTTGTTAATCAAACAAATCATTGTTTATAATCAAATTATTGGGCAGTTAATACTCTTCCTCTGCTGATATGTCATTAAAATTATATATACAACTGAGCTCAGAATAAATTAGATGTTACCAAAAGTAACAGCCTTTTTATAACTTAACTGGTAGAAATACTTTTTTTACGTATAACACATGTTTGCTCACTGTGTTATCGTCAGCCAGTAGTTGAGTTACCCAGGGGTGTTATCCCCAGAGATGTCGGCTCTAATACCTTATAATTATTGCTGTTAACAAGTGAGTAACGGACACATAACAACCTGGAGCGTTTTTCTGAGCTCAACTGTATTATTACAGTGCAGTTGTAAAAGGGAACACAATCACAATATCCGATGATTATGCAAGCACGCATACGCATATTTCATAATAAATACATGTATTTTATCCATATGATGTTTCTAGATTGGGTCATTAATTTTTAATTTTTTTTTAATCAATTCTATTCGCATTATTTCGCATTATTTCGCATTATCGGTTCATTCATTTATGTATCAAACATTGCTTTTTACATATGTATTTGATTGTTTGTTTATCACTTTGGCCTTATTATATATATATATATATATATATATATATATATATATATATATATATATATTATGTAATGCTAAAAGTGCTTCGTCAAGGCATTGTTACCAATGTGTTATGAAGGCTTTTATCATGTTATTTTCACTTACAAGGCTTTTCGCATTCTAGGCGAAACTTCTTCGGGGAAGAGCACGCTTTTGAACCTTCTCCTTGGCAAAAAGATCCTACCGGAAGCCCATTTAAGCTGCACAGCAGCGATCACAAGAATAAAGTATGGAGAAGAACCTAGAGTATTTAAAGTGACACACCAACCTGACGGCAGCAGAAGTCGTCGGAAGTCCCCATAAAGAAGCCTGATGATTTGTGCTCGGCTTTGGAGCCTGTTCTATTTCCTAAAGGTGCAGCGAGGGAGGATGAACAGGAAAAGTGCACTGTTGATGTTTATTTGCCATTTGAACTGTTAAAGGTAGTGACGTATTTCATAAAGACAGGGCATATGGAAAATGATGTATAATTTTTGTTTCTTAAAGATCTATCTCTATGTACGTCTAAAATTGTGACATGAAACTAAATTGGGAACTGGTATATACATGTAATTTTACAGAAAATGGCTAAACTTTCTGTCAAAGGTATGATGCCTTCATATTAAGTATCTACAAAATACATAAACAAAATCGTATTATACCGTTAGAGTGGTGTGTATATCATCGACAGCCCTGGTATTGGCGAGAGTGGTGTCATGGATGACGTGGTTCTTCACTTCATCGCCAACAATGACGTCTTTGCCTTCATTTATGTCATTATGACTGATAAGTCAGGCGGAGTACAAGAAGATAGGGTAAGTAAACTGCACTGATATTGTAATCAAAGCTTTTCTCAATTCTCCAATAATATTGCTGGCAATAAACTTGTGCAGTTTCCCCCAGACAAAATTGCATTAAAAGCATTTGAGTGTGTATTGCTTAAAAATATTCATATCAACATACTTAAAGTTGCAAAGAATTCTGGCGGGGTGAACATGAACTTCTTTTAAGTGACCGCCAATCACCATATAAATATGTTCACCCTTTTACTCCCTCGTTAAAATAATGGAATATTTCGAGAACAGGATATGATTTAATTTCAAAGTTCACCGTAATTATTGTCAGAAACATGAACACAGCTTAACTATCGCCACAATGGTATAAGTGTAATAATTACCTTCTTAATACACAAGAGCTGATTAGATTTGATTACCTTATGATTATGTAACCTATCTGATCACACTGATGGGTCGTGTGCATTTTTAACTCGGAGTTGGAGTCGCATGTCAGTTTTGTCTAGTGCTGTTATAGGTACTACTACTATATACTTTCACGCAGTCAGGCGTCTAGGGCACCGACAAAGATCTCCCACTGCGCTCTGTCACGAGCCAGGTGTTGAATGATTCCCCGAGTTTCCCTCAGTTGTTTCAGCCTCCGCGTGGTCTTAGGTCTGCCTCTTTTTCTGTGTCCCTCTGGTGTCTAGTACATGGTTACTTTTGTGGTGAAACTTGGCCAATCCATTTCCATCTCCTTTTCCTGATGACTTTACTAACGCTTCTCCGGTTGTTTTGTTTTAACAGATCTTCATTGGATATAGTCCTTGATTTGTTTAAGGCTTGAGGTGTGAAAAGTAGATACTGTAGCTTCCTGAGATAAATCGTAATATCATCCAGCGGTAGGTCAAAGGAATATGTGTGATCAGGCATCGGCAGTGGTTTCCCACCTAAGACTACAACCTGGAAGGATCGTATGCTCTACCAGATGGGTAGTCAAAGAACAGTTGTCAGATTTTTCTCAGAGGACTCAGACAAAATTTTCTTCACCTAACAGAAGAACCCACATTATAATGGACCCATCAACTTCATTGCCTTCACGTGGTGCACGTTTGGTTTTCCGATAAAATGTAGTTGTTTTTTCATAGTACTGATATAAGACTCCTTGTTCCATGTCAATTTTGGGATACTAGTAGGTTTGCTTAATACTTTTTGGGTTAGAACTTGCCAACGGTGGTAGTCATAATGAAGGTCGAACCATCATGAGACCAAGCCCACTTTGGTCTTTTTTTCTTTTTCAACAAGCTTCATCGGGATCAAAGAACGCAACAATTTTCAATGGCCTCTCGGGCAAATAGACAAGCCTGCTTTTTCTCCTTGTTCGAATCCCATACAGCATTTTTGCGATGCTCTAGGCTGTGCAATAAGAAGGAAAGAGGACTGGCAGATTGAGATGAGTCAGGCTTGATCAGGCTTTTGGTCAAACTGTATATAAAATACTCATAAACTAGCCTCATACCACTATTCCAGCCCACGTGTGACTCGAAGTTTTTCTGATTTCATGTTTTACTGTTTAAAATCCAAAAAGGCCACCAACAGTCAGGAATGATATCTTCGCTAAATTGACTTAAACATTTTAATAATTTTAAAATCATATTGGTTTTCAGAAATTATTTTCAGCTTATTTCCAACACTTCCCATTTAATCTTATATGTGTGATAGCCTTTTCTTTCTTGTTTGAAGATGAGAGAATAAATGAAACGATTTCAAGTGTACAAAGACCATATGATAGCACCTGCTTTATCTGATGTTCTTTCTGTAGCTCCAAAAATTGCTGCGGCAACTTCAAGATATGAAAGATACTGCTGGAGAGCCAATATTTGACCCTGGCTGTGCCATTTTTGTCTGCAACCGCTGGGATCTGGTGCCAGAGGACGCAAGGGAAAAGGCTTTAGAGAATGTACGTTTGGCAGTGAGTGAGGGCTGGAAACGGCCCATGGATTCATCAAAGCAGATATTTACCCTTTCTGCTAAAATGGCGTGGCAGCACAGTCAGGCTGGGTACATGACTCACGACTACAGGCGGCTGGTCAGAGGCATCAAGGCCCTGATTCCAGTGAGTTTGCAAAGAAGGACAGAGCATGTGCAACGGTGTGTTTAAGTTTACATTATTTATTTATTTATTTATTTATTTATTTATTTAAGTAAAATTCAACGAACTCATTCCTTGATCCTGAATAATAATGCGACTCCCAATTTAACGTTGTGTTATTAAACCATATCTGTATGTAATCTGCGTTTACATTTATATGATTCTAGGCCAGTTCCATGAGACTGTTTAAAATATTTTCCATAATACAGGTTATTTATACTATTTTTATTTTAGATGGGGCAAACATATGGTAGAGCGCACCATAGATTATGCCCAGCAGTATCTTCATTCTGCCAATTTGACTAGGGATGAACTTGAGGCTCAGCACAACTCGCAAAAGGAACGGTTGGACAGACTTGAGAAAAAGTCGGAAGATATTTTGAAAAAACTAGAGGGCCACCTTTATAAAGAATGTGAAACCATTACTGATTCTTTATCTAAATATCTTAGCAGCGATCCTGTCTGTGCTCGAGTTACCTCTTGGACCAATGCCGAAGCTCCTTATGGGATTGGTTGGAACTATTTAGAAGGTAGAATAGAAGATGCAATTTGTAAAAGAATCATTGATGCCATCAGCTCTTGGGAAACGGAGCAAAAACATTTTGAAACCCTGAAAAAGGACTTGTTTAAGAAATTCACTGAAAAATTCCAGTTAATTGAATCTGAGCTGCGTATGATTGAAAACATGCTGGAGAGGTCCTCGGAAACAGATTCCAGGAAAAGTGAAGATTTGGCAGCCTATATGGAATTGCAAGACTTAATGGACAATGAGGTGAACAAAATGTCGATTGTAGACTTAAAACTAGGTGAAAAAATTGCACTCGGTTTATTTTCACCAATCATTTTACCCATTGGTGCGTTGGGTATGCTTCTCGCGTCACCGGCATTTCTTTTTGTTGACGTAAAAAAACATGTAAGGAAGAGGAAAGAGAAACAAATCTTAAAGCAATATGACCAGAAGAAATGTGAATTTCTTCGAGACAGATCATCCGAGGCTTTGAAAATAATGGCTAAGCGTGATGTTACAAAGGCCTATGTCGATGCTCAACTCCAAGAGGCCAGGGACCATCTACAGATGATGCGCGAGTCCATTCCACAGCTTATATCATCAACACGAGACTACATGCAGACCATTAAAGAAGACCAACGGTCTAAGGAGCAGCTGATCGCCACCTATGATCCTGTCGTCAAGAAGTTTACCAGAGTTAACCGTGCGCTGGAAGATTTTGCTATTACACATCTTTTCTCGTATGATTATAACGAGACAGATGTGGAAGCAGACATCAAATATGTGCAAGGGCAAACGTCATATAAAGGGAACTGGACTGAAGTTTTCCCTGCCATCTTAAAATCTCCAAAGGGTCAATCCCTCAAGATATCTGTAAAACGATATAAATGGGCTACATGTGAGAAGCAAGTTCGTGAGGAAATCATTGAAATGAGGTGTGTAGAAATAAGAAGTTGCCACTTGTTTGCCTTAAACATTTCCTATGCTTATTTCAATGCAGTTTTTCCTTTCTTAAACCTAGAGATTGGCTGGCACCATACATTGAATAGGACATAACACAAGGACAAATTATTCTTTTCCAGAAAAATGAAGCAACAAAAGAGGAGATTCATTCCCACCATACTGGGTACTTATTTGGATTCAACAAACGAACTGCCAGCTCTTATCATGACCCCGCGTCTGACCAGTTTGAGGGTCCTCAGCAGTGACAAGGGCGCAACTAAAGTCCTCCGGAGTCAGCTGGTCCATTATTTACTCAAGGAACCGGTAGATTGTCTAATCCAACTGGCGGACGCCTTGGCCTACCCGCACATGAATGGCTTCGTCAGTCTGGATTTGTCTATGGATACAGTTATGATTACCGTGAGTATTATACAGTTATGATTACAGTGAGTATTATATATATATATATGGTTACTACTTATTTATTTTATTTTTTTTTTTTTTTGGCTTGATTCATCAAAAAAGTGATGAGTGATATCCAGTTTTCTATTGTGAAATATTTTAGTCAATAATATCAAATATGACATAAGATGTCATTCAAAAGAAAAGAACACCCCCAGAAAGCCATTTCAACAGTTTGATGTCAGTATTAATTTTAAGCTAAGGTATTAAAGAAAATGATAGCCTTCGAACAGTGATATGTTACACAGTCAAAGAACTCATTACAGTAAATCATGAAAAGTCATCAATAGCGGGTATGACTTAATTCCAACGGCCGCTTGCAGCGCCCTCATCCTACATGGCATATCCTGTGACAAGATTTTTGTTTGGATGGGGATATCATTCCACGCATTGATATTTACCTGTCGTAGTTCATCACTATTTGCGGGCCGATGACCATAGCTATTAATTCTGTGAGTTACTTCCGCCCACATATTTTCAATTGGGTTCATATCTGGGGAGTTTGCAGGCCAGGGCAGTTGCTGAACCCATTGGTTTCGAAGAAAAACAGTGATTTTGCGAGCTCGATGTGGGGTTGCGCAGTCGTCTTTTTACACAAAGTTGTTAGTGAAGATGACTCTTACAAATCGAAGCATTGTTTGCTGAAGAATGTCTCTGTAGGAACCCTGGTTGAGGTTGCCTCCGAGAAAAACCAACTGGTTCTGGGCACCGGCATGAAATGCTCCCCAAACATAGACGTTGCCACCCCTCGCTTGCACCCTAGGCAGTACACAACCATCGTTTTATGCCTCTTGTACACGTCGTCGGACACGAATTCGACCGTCTACCCTAAAAACTCCATATCTGGCCTCATCACCGAAAACGACGTGATTCCAGTGTTTTGGCTGGAAACGCACGTGGTCCCCAGCCCATTGCAGACGTCGCTGTATATGACCTGCTGTTAGCACTGGTTTTACCTACTGGTCTTCGTGCAAAATAGTCGACTTGCAGAAATCTCTTGATTACGAGGGACCTTGAAACGGGCGATTGAATAGCATTCTGCCACTCTTTTCTGAGGACACTGGTTGTCTTTGTACGACCAGCACGGCGCACTCTAAGGATAAATGTTCCTGATAAATGTTGCATTGCCTGGCAATGGATGTCCGTTTCTGGACATTTTCTCTAACAGCACGAATCCCATCGTACGCTGCGTTGCTTAGCTGTCGAACCATATCTTCTCTTAGGTACCTCCCAAGTTTCAGAGTGATCCCTTTGTTGCTTCTCTAAATACAATCCAAAGATTGGCCAAACCCATGCGTTTTATACAAATTGCCGAAAAGTCCACCCCTCACATTACTGACCACAGAACATGCAACTGCATGCATCAATTGTTTAGACATTTGTGTGGTAATTAGGTAACACACATGGCTACACATGGAATGACACCTCAGTTTTGAATTTAAAGTACTTAGAGAGAAAAGTAATATTTTGTAGAAAATTAACTCGCCAAAAAATAATATTCCATGTTAAGTAGTAACCATATATATATATATATATATATATATATATATATATATATATATATATATATATATAACAGGACAATTCATCTCCCCCCACCCCCACCT